AGCGGTCCTTTCTCTGACCAAGGTGGGGGTAGCAAGGAGCAGACAGATTATACATCCGAAGCTGATGTGGACATGACAGAGGCTGATTATGCAAGGAAGAGGGTACAAGTGCAACAAGGGACACAACCGAGCCTGAGTGCAGGAGGCCAGGGGGCGACCCTAGCGCTACCACCTCCCACTGATCCCATTAGTCCTAGTAGCAAGCAGGTCTTGAAGAGGGCCAAAACACATGAAGCAGCAGAAGAGCAAAGGGAGGGCGATCTTGGCAAGGTTGTCTCAGCGTTGGCGGGCTCCTTCGAGGAGCGCTGCTGGGCCCAATGAACATTTTCTGTTGGAACTATCGTGGTGCGGGTAAAGCTGCGACAGTCCGTGAACTTCACGATTTCGCGAGGCAATTTACCCCTACCCTATTGTGCATTGTTGAAACTCAAATTGAAAGTGCTAGGGTAGAAGTGTTAGCTGGAACTTTGGGCTTTGACAACTCTTATGATGTTAGTAGTCAAGGTAGGAGTGGTGGAATAGGTTTGTTTTAGAATAACTCAATAAAGGTGGAAGTTCTTGGTTACTCTGTGTATCATTTAGATGTGTCTGTTGAGGAACAGGACGCAGAAAAGTGGAGAATGACGTGCGCTTATGGAGAAGCACAAACACATATGAGGCATCACACATGGACAACTTTGAAAAACATCAGTAGTTTGAGCGATCTTCGCTGGCTCTGTTTGGGGGATTTCAATGAAGTTTTACGTCCCGATGAACATCAAGGAGTTGGCCAGCGTAGCAATGCCTAGATCCAAGCCTTCAGAGAAGTCCTTGATGTTTGCATGTTGCTTGACCTTGGCTATAAAGGCAATTTTTTGACCTTCGAGAAGAAAGTAACAAGAGGGAGCTATACAAGATGCAGACTTGACAGAGCTCTTGTAAACGCATCATGGCTGGCCAGGTTTCCGCTGGCTGCGGTCACGCACTTGACCGGGGTTACATCAGATCATGCACCTCTACTCTTAGAGCGGGAAGTACAAAACAACGAGCGGATTCAGAAACCGTTCAGGTACGAGCTCATGTGGGAGGCGCACGAGACTTTCCTTGATACAATAGCTTCGGGATGGGGGGCTGGCCCTCCGTGCACGTCTGTGGCAGCGCTACGCCACAAGTTGCGGGACCTGGCGACTAACTTGCAGCGGTGGAGCCGGGATACGTTCGGGAGTGTCAGGAAAGAAATTAGAAAACTCAAACCGATGTTAGAGGAGCTAAAAAACGACCCAGCAAGAACGGGTCCTTCCCATGTCGAGCTAAAAATCAATGAGAAGCTGATTGAGATGTTTCACAGGGAGGAGATTATGTGGCGACAGAGAGCCAGGGTAGAGTGGCTTTCGGCAGGAGACAAAAACACAAAATTATTTCATCTCCGAGCTAGTCTTCGGTGCAAGAAAAATATGATAAAGGCTCTACAGAATTCCCTGGGAGTGGAGATATCTGATCCAGCAGAGCTAAAGGTATTAGCTAATGATTTTTACCAGTCTTTATATCTCTCCGAAGGTGTCCAAAACATGGATGCAGTGCTAGACCATGTGCCTAGGAAGGTGACAACTGAGATGAACTCAAATTTGTGTACCCCGTATACCAAGGAAGAGATCAAGACTGCTTTATTTCAGATGTTTCCGACAAAGGCTCCAGGCCCAGATGGCTTTCCTGCTCACTTTTACCAAAGGCATTGGGAGGTTTGTGGTGATGAAGTAACAGATATAGTGCTCAGAATAGTAAGGGGCGAGGAGAGCCCAGAATCTGTTAATGATACAGTATTGGTATTGATTCCTAAGGTAACAACCCCTACGGTACTTGCTCAATTCCGACCTATAAGTCTATGCAATGTTCTGTATAAGATAGCCTCGAAAGTGATAGCCAACAGGTTGAAGAGGATTTTTCCTGACATAATCTCTGAGGAACAGTCTGCCTTTGTCCCTGGAAGGCTTATTACTGATAACATCATATCTGCTTATGAGTGCTTACATTTTATGAAAAGGTCAAGAGCAAAGTCAAACAGTTATTGTGCTCTGAAACTGAACATGATGAAGGCATATGACAGACTGGAGTGGGCATATCTCAGAGGTATCATGACTAAACTGGGTTTTGATCTACATTGGATAGATGTGGTCATGGGCATGGTCTCTTCAGTCTCTTTTTCGGTTTGTTTTGATGGCGAGAAGCTTGACTCTTTTATACCCACTCGTGGTATCCGGCAGGGAGATCCAATCTCCCCCTACTTGTTCTTCATTGCAGCAGAGGGCCTTTCGTGCCTCCTTAAATCAAGTTCTTAGTCGTCTCTTACAGGTATCCAGGTGGCTCCCTCGGCTCCCACCGTCAACCACCTCTTGTTTGCAGATGATAGCCTATTGTTATTTAAGGCAAGTGGGGAGAGCTCAACTATGGTATCAAACCTGCTTGATACTTATTGTTCTGCTTCTGGACAACGGATCAACAATGAAAAATCCTCTATTTTCTTCAGCAAGGGTTGCCCAGTACAGACAAGAGAAGTTGTCAAGAACAATTTGCAAGTATAGAATGAGTCCTTGAGTGAACGTTACCTAGGAATGCCTATAGATGTTGGCCACTCTAAAAACGGTACATTCAAATATCTTCGGGGTCGAGTGTGGGAGAAGATTAAGGGGTGGATGGAGAAGTTACTTTCTGCTGCTGGTAAGGAAGTTTTGATCAAATCTGTTGCACAAGCTATACCTGTTTACTCCATGTCGTGCTTCAGATTACCACGAGGCCTTTGTGACAGCATCATGTCTATTATTCGACAATTTTGGTGGGGTTCCAAGCATGGAAAGAGAAAGCCCAGCTGGGTGGCGTGGGACATAATGACTATGCCGAAGCACATGGGGGGCTAGGTTTCCGTGACATGGAGATTTTCAACCTCGCCTTACTGGCAAGGCAGGCATGGCGTACCCTAACAGACAACAACTCACTAAGCGCCAGAATCCTCAAGGCAGTTTACTTCCCACACTGCTCTCTCCTTCAAGCAGAACTAGGATCGCACCCATCCCAGATATGGCGGGCGATTTTGGATGGTCGGGATATCCTGGCGCAAGGGGTCATCAGGAGAATTGGTGATGGGGAGACGACCGATATTTGGCGGCACAACTGGATCCCACGTGATGGGCTTAAGCGTCCCATATGTTCTCTAGTTCAGAACCCTCCGGCGAGAGTGGCGCAGCTTATAGATCCAACATCGGCAACGTGGAATGAAAACCTGGTATGCTCGGTGTTCACCCACTTTGATGCGGAAGAGATTCTACGGATCCCGCTTTGCACTCGCCGGGTGGGCGATTTCTGGGCCTGGCATGAAGAGCCTCGAGGTAATTTCAGCGTTCGTTCTGCCTACCCAATGATTCTAAAAACGAAACACAGCAGGGAAGCTTGGTTAGCTGAGGAGGACGGTACATCTTCTGAGCATCAAGACACCAAGAAGTGGTCTATGATCTGGCACATGCAAGTCCCCTCCAAACTGAAGGTGTTCGTGTGGCGGCTAGCCCGTCATTCCATGCCCACGGGATCGGTCCTCAAACGTCGACATATGGCAACAAAGGACACTTGTTCGCTATGTGGGGCGACTGATACATGGAAACATGCCCTCATTGCATGTCCGATGGCAGCAAGCGTTTGGGCTTTGGCACCAGATGAGTTGGTCCAGCATATGATTGAGCGCGAGGAGGATGGTCCGAAGGAGTGGCTGTTTGCACTACATGAAATATTGACGAATGATCTCTTTGATCGCCTGGTGGTGATGCTCTGGGCACTTTGGTATGCGAGGCGTAAAGCAATTCACGAGAATATATTTCAGGCACCATACTCTGTCAACAGCTTCATATCAAAATATTTGGATGAACTACGAGTGACCCAGCAAAGGCATCCTTCCTCGACCCCTTCTAAAAGCGCCCGACCAGCGCGGTGGCTTGCACCACCATCAGGTTACGCGAAGTTTAACGCCGATGCAACGGTAACCAGAAACGGTGGGACAGTGGGGGTGATCTGTAGAGACGACAGGGGTATGTTTATAGGAGCCTCGACTCTCTCTTTCAGATACATTGTGGATCCTCCGACTTTGGAAGCACTTGCTATTAGAGAGGCACTAGCATTGGCAGATGATCTCTATCTGAGGCGCATCCAAGTGGCGTCGGACTGCAAAACGGTGGTGCAGGACATACACAAGGAGAATTTGGCAAGCTACGGAGCAGTCATTCATGAGATAGTTGAACATTCTTTAGCTTTTGATTTCTGTAATTTCAGTCATGAGTTTACGAGTTCGAATTTTGAAGCTCACAACTTAGCGAAGCATGCTTTATCTTTCGATGGTGGCCGCCATGTTTGGTTAGGTCATCTTGGTAATTTACCATCCGTCCCTGTAAATATTGTAACGACTTAATAAAAGCTTGGTGATGTTGCCTAAAAAAACGAACTCCCGAAGATGTAGGATCATCCGCCTCGTTCCCCGAACTACTGACAGATTTCCATGTAAAAAAAAACCACTGACAGATTTCTGTCCCGTTTCCAGCGTACCTTGATCCTTCGCCACCCGCCATTCTTCCTCCTCGCAAAGATGAGAAGCTAGGTTTTGCGCCCCTCGCCGGACGGTCGTTTCTCCCTCCCTCCACCGCAGGAGGTGCCGCCTGGGGGTACGCGCTTTCTTCTGCTCTTATTTCGATGGTCATTCCCCCCCTGGTTAGATCCACCTAATAAACAAAACAAAATAAACGAAGACCTTCGTGTATGCATTTTGGATTTCAGCCTGGTGAATCCGCCTGACCTGCAAAGCTGGAGAGGCGGGTTTTGATCTCCGTCGGCGACAGGGATGCAGAGTGAACCGGGGTGCGAGAACACATAATAGGAATCTCCACATTAATCTCGATCCATACAAATAGGTAGATGGAGTTGAATTGGTATCCATCTAATGTGTTGTTTTATTGCATCCTCTTATTGCTTACATTCTTTTGACAGATATGGCGACCGAAGAATACGACAGTAGCTATGATGTTGATATTGATGAGTTAGCTATTTCCATGAGGACAGATTTAAATCGACGCATGTCACTAGTTGAGGATCGCGGAAAAGGAAACAGGTGTTGCCCGATATGCAAAATAGTGCACCGCATTCGCCAAACTGACAGTAGTGCATATGAGCCAAGTATTCTTTCAATTGGCCCTTATCATCATTCAGAGTTACCACTTCAAGCTATGGAAGCAGAGAAGTGGATATGTCTAGACTATATTCTTAAACTAAACTGTGAAGTTAGTTTGCGCGGGTGCCTGAGTTTGATTTCTGGACTGGAAAAAGAAGCAAGAGGCTATTACACCGAGGAGATAAACATGGATAGTGAAGAGTTCCTGCAGATGCTTCTACTAGATAGCTGTTTTATTCTTGTGTATCTTGGCAATATATACGCACAAGGTGCTACCGTTGATGATGCGCAAATGACAGAAAACATGATATACGAGGGAAAGAGGGAAGCAAAGGACTTGAGCCACATGGATTCCGCCCCCTGCCAAAGTTTGAGTGGGCACTCAGCAGTGGACATTGAACTAAATCAAATGGACACACATACTGATAGTCGGAACCAGGGGGATTATAGTGGCACTGTAGAATGGTATAATAGTTCTGCTGTATATGACCTACTTTTGTTGGAGAACCAGATTCCCTTCTTCATTGTCAAGACAATTTATCGGTTCTTCTCACGTCATGTGGCAACTACTTGGTTACTCACGAATAACATTTCTGAATTCATGGAAGGCACTCTTTACCATTTCTCGAAAGTAATAACTGAGGCTAATAGGCCAGAAGATTTTTACCATCTGCTGCACCTGTGTCATAAGTACCTGAAACCTAGTCACAAGTTTGAATATGACTATCATCAGTATGCTGCAAATCCTCATCGCTTCCAATTTGTACTTGATGTTAGCCGCAAGATCTTCACTTGTGGAGAGGAGCAAAACATGTTCCATGAGCTAAATTTGTTAAATTCAATGCAGCAGGCCAATCGATGGCGTAGGGCTGTGGAATATCATGAAGCGGGAATGCAGTTCAAGAAAAGGGAGTTTGATGAAAACAATCCTCATTCCCTATTGGACATTAGATTCAGAAAAGGTCTCATGGAATTACCATGTTTGCTGATCGATGATAAGTCTTCTTTGCTATTCAGAAATCTTTTAGCTTTTGAGCAAACATGTCGTCAAGTTGGAGATGACATCACTGCATATTTTGTGCTCATGTCCCAGCTTGCTAGTACGTCAGCTGATGTGGCTCTTCTTGCTCAGAAAGGGATTATAGTGCACCAGATGGAAAGCGATGAGGATGTATCAACTCTCTTCACCAAGCTTTCTGAGTATGTGGCGTTTGACTTCAATGGTGAACACTACCTGAAATCTCTGTGCTGTGTCATGGAAGCACACTACCAAAGTCGTATTAATAGGTGGATGGCATGGCTATGGCACAATCATTTCAGCAACCCATGGTTAGGTTTTGCTGCCATAGCTTCGGTTTTCGTAGTCCTCTGTAGTGTCATGCAAACTGTTCTTGCTTTCTTAGCATACATGGGATGAAGGCATGAATCAACAGATTTGGATTTGAGAGTTAGCATATATGAATCTGATAATTTTTCGATTTGCTGTCACAAAGGGTGTTCTACATTGTTTGCGGAAAGACAAAGGTTCTACAATGAGATTTTTTTTAGAACGGAGACGCACGATGCGTCCGGCTTTAAATTAATAAAGCCCACCAGCAGGCAGCATCCATAGGTAATACATAACAGGGACAACAGTTTAACAAGCTAAAATGGCCGAAGCCAAAAAACAAAGGACAAGCAGCTGACCGCCGCCAGGAGATATAACATAAATAGCAGTGCGACAGGCAGCCAGCCAAAGGGTAGCCAAAAAAGCTCCAAAAGCACCAACTTAGGCTCGGGCCTCAACTTGGATCGTGCGGATCCGCTCCATGGCTTCCCGCATCCGATCCGCATCACGCCGTTTCCCCAACGGAGTCCATGTCTGTAGGAACACATGGCATTTGAAAATAATGTCAGCAGGGTGGTTAGGGAACTTGTGTTCGATCGTCATCTTATTGCGAATGGTCCAAAGAGACCAGCACAGCGCCCCTACGCATCGCCACAATACACGACCGAAACTGCCCCTATACGCAAGAAGGAGCCTACGCAGGTCCGACGTCGAGTTGGGGTTCCAGGTTTGGTCGAAAGCCGAACGGACGACACTCCAGGCGAAACGGGCCAGGTGGCACTTGAAAAAGATATGGTTGGCATCTTCATGCTGACCATAGAGCGTGCAAGTACCATCCGAAGGGCCATGTCTAATGGCAATGTTGTTGGAAGAAGGAAGGCGATCTCGGAAGAGTTGCCAAAGGAAAATTTTGATCTTCAGAGGGATGGCCGCTTTCCATAGCCCCCTAGCTATGTCTAGTGACGGTCCTTCGGTCATCTTGTTGTAGAGGGATTGGACCGAGAACTTCCCAGAGTTCGTGAGGGACCAAGAGACCGTGTCCTTCTCGGGGAGAAGAGTGAAGCCTTGCACCTTAGCTAGGAGCCCATCCCAGCTGGCGCGTTCATGAGTGAGGAGTGGCCTTTTGAAGGAGATGGCGGGAGGGTTACATCTAAGCGCATCGGCCACCATAATGTCAACGTTGGTAGCCAGTTGGTAGATGGCAAAATGGCTCTGCCAGAGGGGCTCCGGACCAAGCCAGTGGTCGAGCCAAAACCGCGTAGAAGCCCCATTATTAACATTGAACTTGGCTCCGAGAGTGAAGGCAGGCTTAACAGCCTGGATGTCGTTCCAAAAAGACGACCCCTTCGCCTTTGAGGCAAAAAAATTTCCGTCCGGAAAGTATTTGGCCCGGAGGATTTCAGCCCAGAGCCCTTGCTCGTTTTGGGAAAGTTTCCAGATCCACTTGGCAAGGAGCGGCACATTCATAAGTTTGGAGTTCAGGATCCCGAGACCACCAAATTTCTTGGGGCGGCAAAGCACCGCCCACTTGATAAGGTGGTATTTCTTCTTGGTCCCAGTTCCTTCCCAAAAGAACTTAGACCTGGGTGTGTCCAGTTTGGCGTCAACACCGTCGGCCAACAGGAACATGCCCATAGTAAATAGGGGCAGGGAAGACAGACTGGAATTAGTCAGAATCAGCCTAGCCGCAGAGGAAAGAAACCTGCCACGCCAGGGGCTAACCCGATTCGCCACCTTGCCATATAAGGGTTCCCATTCGAGGATTGAGATGTGTTTGTCCGAGATAGGGAGCCCTAAGTACTTAAATGGAAAACTCCCTAGTTTGCAATTAAGTAGGTTGGCAATGCGGGTGGCCTGGTGATCGTCCATCCCTATGGCGATCACCTCGCTTTTAGCAAAGTTAATCTTCAGGCCAGATATGATCAAAAGCGAGGAGGATGAGCTTGATCGAGGCTATACTAATATCGTCAGGTTCGAAAAGGAGCAGGGTGTCGTCCGCGTATTGGAGGTGGGTGATCCCGCCGGGGCACAGGTGTGGGACCACGCCCCGGACGTGGCCCGCGGCCTTGGACTTGTGAACCATGGTCGAGAGGGCATCAGCGACAAAATTGAAGATGAGAGGCGAGGAGGGGTCACCTTGTCTGAGCCCACATTTGTTACGGAAGAAATTCCCAATTTCTCCGTTAATAGATACCGCTGTCTGGCCTCCCGAGACCAGCTGCATAGTGCGGTGGATGAATCCCGACTCGAATCCCTTCCGAGTGAGAACTTCTCGAATGAACTCCCAGTTCACTCGGTCGTAAGCTTTCTCGAAGTCCAGCTTAAAAAGCACGGCCGGATGGCGTGTGCGTTTAAGTTCGTGAACAATCTCCTGCAAGACCACCGGGCCTTCCAGGATGTTACGGCCTTTGAGGAAGCCGGACTGGCTGCGGTCGATCACACGTTGGGCGACCGGAGCCAGCCGCGTGGTGTAAGCCTTGGAGCAGATCTTGAAGGGGACGTTGATAAGAGTTATAGGACGGTATTGCTTAATCGTATCGGCCCTCTTTACTTTGGGAATGAGACTGATGACGCCATAGTTAAGGCGCGAAATGTCAACTGTACCTAGTGCAAAACCATTAATGATATCGTAGAACGTGTCCTTAAGCGCCGGCCAAAACCGCCGGAAGAAAATCACCGGCCATCCGTCCGGCCCAGGCGCGGTTTCAGTTTTCATTGAGCTAAGCGCTTCATCAATCTCCTGAGTGGAAAAAGTTAAAGCGAGCCCGTCGTTTTCGGCCTGAGAGACCCGTGATTCTTCTCCCCAGAAGTCGTCACGCAGGCGCAGGCCCTTCCCCTCTGCCGTACCCAGGAGAGAGAGGAAGAAATCGTAGATGTGTCTCGAGATCTCAGCCTGGCTAACCAGAACCCCCTGGTCCGATTGCAGTCGCGAGATCGTGCATTTCCGTTTACGGCCATTGGCAAAGGCGTGAAAGTAGCCGGTGTTCGCATCCCCCTTGGTGACCCACTTGACACCACCCCGGCGGCTACAATGAGATTCGGTGGTGCATCTACTGCAAATCCTCAATCTCATGATTTGAACAGCATTTGTTCCATGACATATATATTGATAGATAAGTAATAAAGGGTCACAAGACTGTCAAGACCCCCGTTGATGGAGGTGTCCATGTTGAATCGTTAGAATGGAGGGCCAGGACAAATATGGCAACGTCCTCGATCTGGCAACATGGCAAGATAGTTGGTGCCATGGCAAGTTGAGTTTACCTTGGCGGCTTTCATCTTGGCACCAATCAGTTAGTCAAAATTTACTAGGATCAGCGTCAGGAAGAAGGAATTTCAGCAGTCGACCTGGGTATCTTAGGGAATGCCAGACCCCTATGAAATGGTTGATATGGCGCAATCTGCGCCATACTAGAATATAGTGATACCGTAATAGCTCGGGATAGGAGCTCATGAACCACAGAAGCAAAGACCACGCTTTACAGAGGTGAGCACTGCGGCAAAAATAAAGTGCCCAAGTTCTCGCATGTATTTTAAATATGCTATTGCTGCTTTTTGCAACCTGCAGGGAGAATTTATTCATATATTTTCTCTTCGATGTTTGTCACGAGAAGTGTTCGGGCCTCAACTAGTTCCCCAATGTTTGATGTGTTTGAGAGCTGTTTGTTTGGTATGCAGGCATGCATGTACACTTAGGTAGTGAAAAAACTGCATAATCTATCCATTTTTTTTTCGGAGACATAATCGATAGGTCTTTATTAGTAGTAACATACTGTTTGATAGATGTTGCTTTACAAAGCCAGTAGCAAAACGCGGGTACATTATTTATCCTTATTTTATACCAGATGACGATCCACATGTTCACATCTTGACAGGGATCCGCTGGAGATGCAAGTTACTCGGCAGCACTTGCCCTCCTAACAACGCTTCTCGTCCTTGGTGACCCCGCTCGCACGAACGGCCTTGGAAGCACAAGGTGGGACGTAGGGAGGATGGAATATTGGCTGCGTGATGGCGTATATCTTGGATTCGGAGCGACCGCCGTTCTCCTCTAATTAAAAAGAAAAAGCAAACTCTTGGATCAAATGAAGGTACATAAGGGGGTAGGAGATGCTGTGCTGAATCGAACCGTCCGTACCTGGGGTATTCATGATACCGTGGTCGCGCAGAACGTTGTCCTTGGGGAGGACTGGAGGAACATCTCTCCCTGCAGCAGCAGCAGCGGAAGAGATCACCAGCAACAGCACGGCTGAGACGAGAGCTACTTTGTTGATCGCCATCGTTGGGGTTATCTGCACCGGGGAGTTGCTCTGCGGCCAAATTTATACCCGATGGATCGCTGTGGTCATTACGCGGGGAGTATGAGGACGGCACATGCCTATGATCTAAGCGAGCATTAACACGCGCCGTGTAGCATAGCATGTGGCGAGGGAGAATCAAAATCTCCAGCTAGGACAACTGAACCTTAATTTCCTACACTCGCCGTGTAGCATAGCATGTGGTGAGGGAGAATCAAAATCTCCAGCAAATTACCTCATTTCATTGCTGTGGAATGTATTGCACACAAACTTTTCAAAATTGCACTAAGTCCATGTGCAATGAAAGGTGCTTATATAAATAAACCAGGCAAAGTATCAAGTGAAAACGGCTATTCAGTGAAAATTAAAAACTATCGTCGTACGCCATCTGATCCAGGACGTACGGTGCACAGCAAAGGTGGGAACCTAACTAGCCATTTAATCACAGTTTTACAGACAGACTGCAGCGCCGCTCCTCTGGCGACGGCGACCCGGAGGCCGCAGCCCTGACGCGGCAGCGTCTACACGCGCTGGCGGCGACGGCGGTAGCCCCACGCAACGGCGACCTGATGGCTACCGTGATGGCCCCGCGCCACGGCGACCTCGGCGGCCCAGCCGACCTGGCGCTGCCCTCAGGCGACCTGGTGCTGGCCCATGCGAGGGATATCCGGCGACCGCGGTGCTGCCTCCCTGCTACGGCTTCCCGGTGGCTTGCCCTTTCAAGCTGATGTTTCTGTAAGTGAATGATAATGGTGTTTTGCTGCAACTGAATGACTGGGTTGTACAATACAGACAAGTCCTTGTTGTTTTGCTGCATCTGAATGAAAGTGGGTGTACAGAAACTACTTGAATGGATGTGGTTATACAAGAAATCTTTGGCCTTTTGCTATTGTTGTACATACTGAAATTGCAGATTTACTGAATGAATGTGAATTGGTTCTAGAAATATGTCTTGTCTGCGGTGAGCTGAAATCTCTGTGGTATTGTCTATGACAAATTCAGGATAGACGAGGCTCTCACTCTCCATTCAAATCCATCTTGGGTTCATCCCCCTTCTTTGTTCGGAATCCTGAATTTGCACAAAGGAAACACCTCCAGACTATCACATTATCTTTTAGTCTTGTTCTGTCCAATTCGAACTGAAAAACCAACGTTGTGTGCATAAGCCTTGTAAAACTCCTCGACTGCTTTCATACTGTCGAATGTCATTCCTACAGTTGGCTTTAAGTTCTCATCGCATATGAGTGTACATGATGAAATCTAAAAATTACAAAACACATTAGTCATACAAGTTACTACTCCCTCCGTTCCGAATTACTCGTCGCAGAAATGAATGTATCTAGATGTATTTTAGTTCTAGATACATTCATTTCTGTGGCGAGTAATTTGGAACTGAGGGAGTATTTGTTAGTGCAATTTGAACCGAGTTGTGGTGATAATGATACTCATCCATGGCTCTTTTTTTGGGTGTACCGAAGCTATCCAAATTGATCGGGGGAGGATGTATTTCCATATTATGGCGGCCGGCCTCATTGCAATTATGGGTTTGCAAAACCAAATCACCACCAAGCTAAGGGAAACAACCATGGCAATGGCATTGGCGTCATCATTTTGTATCAATGCAGGAAGAAAAACAATTATCAAAAAGAAAAATCTACTGCTCACCTTTGTAGTACTACCAGGAGGCAGGTGGATGGCAGGGGACAGAGGATCGGTGACACCATTGCTTAGGGCAAGGCCAACGCGCCACCGTGGACAGCTGCCCCAGCTATCCACATAGGCTCGGGTGGTCCTAAACTGCTCAACGTGCTGCCTGCAGATCAAAACGGATGCTTGCAGAGGAGGCCGGCTCCTCCCTGACCAAAGAAGCAAAAAGGTGAGAGAAGGGTAGAAAAGAAGAGAAAGGTGAGCATACACTGGTACAGAGTAGGCATGCTCTCGGTTCATGCTTGAAAAAGATTACGAAGAGAGAGAGAAAGTGGACCCTGGTGAAGCAGCTGTTGCATTGGGAGTTTATTTTATAGTACTACTACTCAACATACTTTATCTAGGTGGAGAAGATGAGGCTATACCTTACGGATGCTTCCATTGCTCATGCCCTTATAATGAGCCGTAGTGACGCATGCTCTGGAAGGCTAGTCACAACCGGCATAGAGCAATGGCTCAAGGGCTCATTATATTTATAGGTTACAACCTCTAAAACGATGACTGAGGCGTCTGAGGAGACCGAGCCGCCGCCGCCGGAGCCATCGCCCGCGCCTCCGACCACGGTGAACGAGGAATCAGCCGAGGAACTGCAGGAGCGAGCACCGCCGCCGGAACGAAAATATAAAATAGCACAGCTGCACCGGGGCCCTCTCTATCTAGCCATCCATTCTGCGCATCGCGATTCGTGCAAACACATTTTTCTTTTTTGTTTCTCTCACATAAAACATATTTTGAAGTTCAAACCTTTGCAGCGTAGCAAAGTTTTCTATCTAGAATCTAGGATAAATCTTTTAGATTTTTTTGTCAAATATAAATATACAAAAACGATTTTTTTAATGTAAAAAATCATTTTTTGTATATTTATGTTTGACAAAAAATTCTGAAAGATTTATCCTAGATTCTAGATGGAAAGCTTTGCCACGCTGCAAAGGTTTGAACTTCAAGACATCTTTTATGTGAGAGAAACAAAAAAGAGAAATTTTCATACGAAAAGTTAGTTGTGTTGCACAGATCTTAAAGCAATATTGGACAACCAGGATACCAGGGCCGGGGTGCAGCTGTTCTAAAAATCCACGTCCGCCGCCGGAACCATCTCCGCTATTCACGCAGGCACGTGAGGGGGATGGAGAGTGGGTGGTGGTTGTGCCGCCGCCGCCGGCATCACCTCTGCCAATCAAGCCGGCGCTTGGGGGCGTGGTTCCGGCTGCCTTGCCACCGTCTCCGGTGCTGCCGCGGCCGCCAGGTTGTGCTGGCTCCGAGTCTGATTCTGATCTGGATCAGGATCCGTCTGCCAAACCATCGGATGTAGTGCGTTGGAGGATTCGTTTCAAAGATGACCGGAGGGTGGAGATCTGACGGGATGGTTTCGTATACATGCACCCGCGCTCAAGCTGGACGACGGTGAGGGATGAGGAGCACGACTTTCTGGCCGGACGGTACCTGCATGCCGGTGAGATGATTCATACAGGTATGCGTCTGCATATTGATTTCTTCGAAATTCTTGTGCTGGATTGCTTGCAGGTTTCTTCTAGCGGGGAGGAGCAGATCGAGATCGTCGATCTAACCACTTCGGAGCATCAAATCATGAGACCGAATCCAGGGATTGGAGGAAGGTTTTGTGTGCTTGTTGATGGCGAAGAAGAGGATGTCGAGGATTGTCACCCGGTTGCAGCCAAAGACCCAAAGAAGACCGTGTCTTCGTCGTCGTTGGTGGACAGATGTTGTTGCGCCTTCATCCAAGTTTATGCCGGGAGAGAGGCGCAAGGACAAGAGGAGCCCCGCGCCAAGGCCGGCGGCGGGCTGCAAACCAGCGGCGATGGCGATCAAGCCGTGGGAAGGGCCCCTTCCTAAGGTAAGTTTGCCTCATGTCACCTTATCGGATTTCTTTCCGGTAGATGGGTGGACAAAGGTCACCCGAAAAAAGAAAAAGAAAGTGTTTCCGGCGAAGGTTCACTCGCCGCCGGCGGCCGTCAGTCCCGGTGAGATCCGGGCGGCGCGATACGTGCGTTTGAATCAGATTTGTGCTGACACTGGGTTGGAGCTCGTTGTTCCGAGTCTGGGGCCGGGGCGGACTGGGTGTGAGGCCCAGTCCGTGACCCAGAGGCTGGACGCGAGCAACGTGGCCCATGGGCCGTTGCATGAGCTGCTGTTGGACTCCGTGTCCCCCCATGCACGTTCGGCAATCACGATCAGGAGGATCGCTAGACCGGGGTTTCCTAAACTACCGCCGGGTCGTGCTAGGAGGATTCCTCCGCTTTGATCGATCTCAGCTAGGACCATGGCGGGTCGCGGAAGGGGTCTACCGCCGCCGATCAAGCCTGCTCTCTCGTTGCAAAAGCCGCCGCCTTCGCATAAGCCGCTACCTCCAGCGCCGAGGCCTGCCCCGCCGCCGCCGGCCAGGGCCGTACCTCCGCCCAAGGCCGCGCCGCACCTGGCGAAGGCTGCGCTGGCCAAGGCCACGCCTCCGGCCGCTAGGGCTGGGCCGACCCAGTCCGGGCCTCCTCAACACCGCCCGCCCATGCATCCATAGAACATCCAGCAGCAGCAGCAAGTGCAGCAGCAGCACGTGGTGCAGGACGGTCGGCCTAGGGCGTCGTACGCTCACGCCGGAGGTCACAGGACTCACGCGGCCAGAGTTGCCGGTGGCGGATATGCAAACCGGGACCCCCCGCATGGGCGTTGGGGCGATGATGGATACAATGTCTACGGGGAAGGCCAACATCGTGGTTCCTCGTCAACGGGAGGCGGGCGTGGGTTCGCTTGGCAGAGTGATGACACTGCAGAAAAACCGTTTTACGGTCCCCCTGGAGGCTTTGTTGAGGGGGTTTCTGGCCCTAACTACCGGCAGAGAGGTGGCTACAGAGGTCATCGTGGTGGTCGCGGTGGTCGGAACCGGTACCGCCAAACTCCACCTCCTGTCGTTGTCGAGCCGCCGACGTCCTCGGGGGTGATTGTTTCTAGCCAGACGCCAGATTTGTCCAGTCAGGTTTTGGAGGCGGTGACGGCACTAGCTAACGCTGACATACCTGTGACTGAGCATGTGCCTACCGTTACCGCCGATGCCACCGACAAGTCCGACGTGGACAGAGCTTCGAGGTGGGCTCAAAAAAAGGAAAAGATGCTATGCTACCGTTGTGGAGAGAGAGGCCACTTCATTGCCGACTGCATGACTGAGTTATGTGATACGTGTCTCAAGCCAGCACATGACACGAGGGAGTGCCCCGTTTTACGTGATCAGATGCCGAGTATTATCATCTATGGTGTTTATTGTGCTG